CCGCTGATCCGCACCGCGAACGCTATTATGTATGCGGACAGGCTGCCGTAAGTGTTGCAGCTCTCTTTGAAGTGGACCACCATCAACAGTTGGGGGAACAGGATCACGTAGACCAGGTCCGAGCACATCGACCAAAGCCCGTAGATCGACGGGATCGTTAGAGCCATCACCGTGCTCAACACGCCGACCACGCCTATCCCCACTCTCATCACCCAGATGATCTCCATTTCCGACGCCTGTTCAGGGAAATGGCTAATAGACTACGACGCCCTGCCGCTTCGGGGGCCGGAATGAGTGAGATGGTGAAACAGGCATGACCAAATGCTGCCAGCTAAACTACCTTCTTACTTTCTCAATTAGTTATCTGAACAGAGTCAGACTTAGTTGTTTGAATAGGTCAGACTTCAAGTTTTCTGGACAGGTGAAACTTCAAGTTTTCTGGAAAGGTCAGACTTCAAGTTGTCTGGTGAAACAGGCATGACCAAATGCTGCCAGCTAAACTACCTTCTTACTTTCTCAATTAGTTATCTGAACAGAGTCAGACTTAGTTGTTTGAACAGGTCAGACTTCAAGTTGTCTGAACAGGTCAGACTCTTAATTGTTTGAGCAGGTCAGACTTCAAGTTATCTGAACAGGTTAGACTTCAAGTTGTCTGGAGAGGTCAGACTCTTAATTGTCTAAGCAGGTCAGACTTCAAGTTATCTGAACAGGTTAGACTTCAAGCTGTCTGGTCAGGTCAGACTCTTAATTGTCTGAACAGGTCAGACTTCAAGTTATCTGAATATAGGTCAGACTTCAAGTTTTCTGGACAGGTGAAACTTCAAGTTTTCTGGAAAGGTCAGACTTCAAGTTGTCTGGACAGGTCAGACTTCAAGCTTTCTGAACAGGTCAGACTCTTAATTCTCTGAACAGGTCAGACTTTCAGTTGCCTGAACAATTCAGGCACTTAATTGTCTGAACAGAGTCAGACAACTAAGGGAGCTAGGAAGGTGGGTCTATCATCTTGTACTACTTGACTGAACAGTGTCTGACTACCTGCTGCATCTACTCATCCAGTGTTACTTCAACTTTGAAATCATTATATTCACAAATCCTCAGAGTCCCAAACTATCAAGACCCCAAATAGATCCCATAGTCAAAAGAACCCAAAATTCCAAAAGTTCCAAATCATAATAGACCTAAACTCTATCTCTAACTTCCCAAATCCTCGCAGCTTCAAATCCTTGTTGGTATGAATGCATTCCAAAGTATCCGTAAGTCCCAAATCCCCAATCCCACATATCCCCACTCCCTAATCTCCAATCCCTAATCCCCAGTCCCAAATCCCCAGTCCTTAATCCCCAGTGCCTAATCCCTACTCCCAACAGTTCCAAATCCCCAGCTCGTAATCTGAAGCAGCTCTCAGCAAGCACTTGGTCATGCCTAACCTAGCCTACAGCGTCGTAGCAAATGGCGGATGGTCCTAGTTTAACACGAGTCACTCGAAGGGACGACGACGAGGCCCCAAGTGACGCTCACGCTTACGTATGTTGCCTTGAAGATCGTATACCGATGAATGATAAATGATGATGATGATGATTAGTGATATGAGAGTGATGGTGGTCGAGACCATGGGATGATATGAATGGCTATGAAAATGAAAAATATGGAAACGATCGTCTACGTATGGCTCCTGTCGAGATATAGTGTGGTCGTAATCGATGAAAAATACACGAGGTGTTAGACTAGTGTGAATCCGAATGAGTTAGTCTAACACTTGTGAATCCGTCGCGGTAGACTATGAATATCTGTAGGACAGGTATGGTTATGCGACCTCATCAAAACGAAGATGAGCTAGATCTTAGATCCTCGACGCTGCATCAACTAACAGACCTAACGACCACGCTATATATCGCCGAGAACCACGAAGAGACTTACCCTCTGACGGAAGATCAATTTATACACGTTTCTGGCGAACATGGAACTCGCCGAGAGGATGCTACTGTCGGCCGAAGACATCACCGCCGCCGATACTGCGCCTAAGCCGAAAAATGAAACGAAATCTGGCGTCAAGTACTGCAGGACCATCGGCAGGATCATGCTTGTTTCGTTCTCGGTGAGGGGATAGGGGCCAGTGTATCCCGTCTCGTTCCAAGCTGCAACAGAGTAATACATCGTCGTTATCGTCGCTGAAATCAATTAATAAATGTTTTAAAAACTGTTGCGTGATGTGGTGTAACGATACGAAGCAATCGATTCGCTTTTCTGGCAAAAAACCAGTTCGGTCCCAAGGTAACAGCTGTGTGGGTTATCGCGTATCTGGAATGGGTAATATTACCCGGTCGGGTTTAGAACGTTTGCAATTATTATTATTACTGCTTCAAACTTATATTTTCGACTCAAACTTATATTTGATAAATTCCTCGAACGAGTAAAATGAAGATAGAAAGTATCTAAAGAAACATTTATCTTTGTATCCCGAAACAAAAGTACAGTAGATACTGGGCTATCGTGTCGTATTAGTTCCGGTGATTCTATTGTGTTCCGCGTTGGCGAGCGAGTGGTGTTGCCACCCTCGCCCCGACCACGTCATGTGACAAAATCCCACGCTATTGTACACCCTGTGGGATATCAAAGAACCCTTCGCCCACACACCCTTCCGTTACAACACCGACCCGCTTAGTCCTGGAACCTTGTAAATACCAGCAGTTCTCGCTTTATCTCTGTCTCTCCCTCGATGCGATACGGCCAAATGTCAAGTAGCCTTCGAATTCGAACAGGGGGGATGACGAGCAAACCGGGTCTAATTCGATCCCCTTTAGCTTCGAGGATCCATGAAACACGTTTCGCTACCCCTTCGAAGGGACAAGGACGAACGGTTCGTAAAGGTACAAAATCGATATTTCGCTTGTTATTATTATTCGTGTTCATATTTATTGCGCTGCTGTGGTGCAAATTTTGGCTCGCGTTATATCACCACGAAGGAGGGTTGTAAGGAGAACAAATGGTATTTAAAATTACTTCTTTAGAATAGCAATGTAAAATGTGACGAGTTAGTGTAACAGTGTAATGTGTAGTAAGTGGCGATTTAACACGTGGTCATATATTGTGAGAAGGTCAGTGGTGATATAGAAAATGAAGGTGTGGCAATGGAACGCGTAGGAATTGAACAAGTGACGATTTAACAAGTGGTTGTATATTGTGTAGGGTGATCTAGGATGTAGTGATATAGCAAGTGATGTCAAACACATGGCAATATAACGCATGGACAGTATAACACGTGGACGATATAATGTGTGGACAATATAATACATGAATGATATAACGCCTAGACAATATAACGCATGGATGACATAACGTGTAGACAATATAATGTGTGGGCGATATAACGCGTGGACAATGTAACGCATGGATAATATAACGTGTGGATAGTAAAATATGCGTGGGTGATATAATGTGAGGACAATATTACGCATGGATGATATAACGTGTAGACAATATAATGTGTGGGTGATATAACGCGTGGCACTATAACGCGTGGAAATATAACGCGTGGGAATATAACGCGTGGGAATATAACGCGTGGGAATATAACGCGTGGGAATATAACGCGTGGGAATATAACGCGTGGGAATATAACGCGTGGGAATATAACGCGTGGGAATATAACGCGTGGGAATATAACGCGTGGGAATATAACGCGTGGGAATATAACGCGTGGGAATATAACGCGTGGGAATATAACGCGTGGGAATATAACGCGTGGGAATATAACGCGTGGGAATATAACGCGTGGCAATATAACGCGTGGGAATATAACGCGTGAGAATATAACGCACGGCAATATAACGCGTGGCAATATAACGCGTGGCATTATAACGCGTGGGAATATAACGCATGGGAGTATAACGCGTGGCAATATAACGCGTGGGAATATAACGCACGGCAATATAACGCGTGGCAATATAACGCGTGGCATTATAACGCGTGGGAATATAACGCATGGCAATATAACGCGTGGGAATATAACGCGTGGGAATATAACGTGTGGCAATATAAACGCGTGGGAATATAACGCGTGGGAATATAACGCACGGCAATATAACTCGTGGCAATATAACACGTGGGAATATAACTCGTGGGAATATAACGCGTGGCAATATAACGCGTGGGAATATAACGCGTGGGAATATAACGCGTGGGAATATAACGTGTGGCAATATAACGCATGGGTGATATAACGCGTGGGAATATAACGCATGGCAATGTAACGCATGAATAGCATAACACGCGGCCAACAACTTATATAACGTTTGATCACATAACGAGTGGCAATATAATAAAAGTTAAAATAGCGATATAACAAAAGTGACTTACCCGTCGCTTTGGCGATAGCCCCGATGAGAACAGGCGGGACGGCCATCAGTATGCATCCTAACGCAGCCACGTAGCTCAATATCTGAGCCCTAGTAGCCGACTTCGAGGACAACACCCGTTGGAAGTACACTTGCCACGGAATACCACCGAATATCAACAAAAGTCCATAATCTATGTATACCCAGTACTCTTTCGAATCCACTTCACCGATCCAGTCCACCTGCATGTCACCGAGTGATTGCACTTTTGGGTTCGTCCAGGCAAATGGAATGCACATCCACTATAACCGAAAGCATAAACATTGTCGTCTGAGATATAACCGTTTCGATATTTTGTTTTATTTGAACGACGGTCAGAAGTGACCCTTACACGTATTCAACTTAATGAACCGTAGATCGAGTACGCGAGATGAAAGTACCAAAGGGCAGAGGGCAACTCTGAAAAGCTTGCTTTTCGAGCAAACTGAAAGAGAATGAATACGAATGAACTGATGGTATCTTCGTTGTGTGATCCATGTTGCAATTATCTTATGGTAATGCTATCCGGACCGTTGCTCTATCGTGATTAATTACAGCTAATGGACGTTTTGTCCGGCGTTGGGATCAAAAGGTTATATGGGTTTCAGGGAATTACTTCGTCACTGATTGCAATTGTAACTGGAGATAGAGGTGTATGGAAATCTGAGAGTATGGGGATTTAGGAGGGGACTTAGTTATATGGGGAGTTATAGAGAGTTATATAGTAAGATATCTAGAAGGTTTAGAAGGTCTAAAAGATTTAGGGACACAGAGAGTTCAAGCTACTGTGATTTAGAGATATAAGAACCTTGAGAGTCATAAGGAGTCATAAGAAGTCATAAGGAGTTATAGAGAGTTATAGGGAGTCATAGAGAGTCATAAGGAGTTATAGAGAGTTATAGGGAGTCATAAGGAGTCATAAGGAGTTATAGAGAGTTATAGGGAGTCATAGAGAGTTATAGGGAATCATAGAGAGTCATAAGGAGTTATAACGAGTCATACCGAGTCATAACGAGACATAGGGAGTCATAAGGAGTCATAGAGAGTCATAAGGAGTTATAGAGAGTTATAGGGAGTCATAGAGAGTCATAAGGAGTTATAGAGAGTTATAGGGAGTCATAAGGAGTCATAAGGAGTCATAAGGAGTTATAACGAGTCATAACGAGTCATAACGAGTCATAGGGAGTCATAAGGAGTCATAGAGAGTCATAAGGAGTTATAGAGAGTTATAGGGAGTCATAGAGAGTTATAGGGAATCATAGAGAGCCATAAGGAGTTATAAGAAGTGATAAGGACTTACAGAGAGTTATAGGGAGTTATAAGGAGTCATAAGGAGTTATAACGAGTTATAAGGAGTTATAGGGAGATATAGGGAGTCATAAGGAGTCATACGAAGCTATAACGAGTCATAAGGAGTCATAAGGAGTTATAAAGAGTTATAAAGAATATATTTTGTGATCTAAATACCTAGGGACACAAGTACTCAACAATCTAGATATTTAATTATGTACTAATCATTTCTAGATTAAATATGATATCTACATCCAGATAAACATATTTATTTAAAGACTTCCAAATGAAATTTGTAAAATCACTCTAATCAATAGGTGTCCGTATATTTTTAGAGGCTAGACAGTACAAAACTTCAAGCACACTTCACGCGAACGATAGGGTATCTATTGAACGCGGTGATAGTCAAAGCGATAAATAAAATCGATACGTGATAACCTTCGATAAGGATTTTTATTAAAAAAACATTGTCGACGGATCGAGTGCTACGCCAAGGTGAAAATTGTCAATAGACTAGGGTAAAATAGAGATTATGCGTGATAACGTGTACGTTAAAAGATTCCGAGATAAAATGACAACGCTATTATTGCAATTAACTTGCCCACGCGTAGCCGCACCTATCCCGGGAACGTCAATCATCGCAACGAAATTAATAACCACGCACGAATTAGAGAGCTCGATAAATGGAGAAAGGAAATCAAAGTAAAGAAACGTAGTAATTATCAGGAAACTTACCAGCCCAATGAAAATGCAAAAAAGCTGAATAACGTCGGTATATGCAACGGAATAAAGGCCTCCGAAGAGCGTGTAAAGAACGGCGATGCAAGCGCTGAAAATGACCGAAGGACGCTGGTCTATGTCAATGATAACCGCCAAGGTAGCACCCAAAGCTGCTAGGATACCTGCGGCCCAGAAGACCTCGCCACATAGGGCAGGAAGAAACAGAAGACCTCCCATACGTTCGCCAAATGCATCTTGAAGAGGATCTAACATCGTGATGTACCCCTGTTCTCGCATCTTGTTTGCGAAGAATATACCACCTGTAACAATAACATTCTTTCCTTTACCAGTGGTTAGGATACATGGTTAGGATACTTATAGAACGGAGACATATATGAGGTGCTAGTACCATTGCTGGTAGCCGAATTTTTATAGATTTGTCTTACTAGGTCTGTTGTTAGAATGAGAAAATAAATTTTATTTTATATATAGCAATGCTACTAGCATCAGTGACATAGTGTAGGTCTCTTAGACATTCTAACTCGTGTTCTAAATGCAGGGATGTACGATAGGGATGGACAGGACCTATGTGTGGTACCGGAGCGTTCGAGCACTAGCGAGAAAGCCGGTGACGCTCATGCGCCATCTAGCGGCGACCAACGTAAATTACGCAGATTACAGAATTGATCCGAAAATTTAATTACAGTAAAAATACCAGTCTAGAACTGTAGTATGCGTCACGAGTGCGTCATTATATTATAGAGCAAGGCGTTAAAATCTCTATGTCCGAATAATCTTTGACGAATCAATGGCAAAGTAGTGTGCGTCACGAGTGCGTCATTATATTATAGAGCAAGGCGTTAAAATCTCTATGTCCGAATAATCGTTGACGAATCAATGGCAAAGTAGTGTGCGTCACGCGTGCGTCATTATATTATAGAGCAAGGCGTTCAAATCTCTATGTCCGAATAATCGTTGACGAACCAATAACAAAGTAGTGTGCGTCAGGAGTGCGTCGCGATATTATAAGAGCGGATAGGACTTATATGTGGTACCGGAGCGCTGGAACACTAGCGAGAAAGCCAGTGTCCCTCATGCGCCATCTAGCGGCGACCAACGTAAATTATGTAGATTACAGAATTGATCCGAAAATTTAATCACAGTAAAAATACCAGTCTAGAACTGTCCTGTGTGTCACAAGTGCGTCATGATATTATAGAGCAAGGCGTTAAAATCTCTATGTCCGAATAATCTTTAACCAATAACAAAGTACAGAAGTCATATGAGTATGTCATAAAGTTATATCATCAGTGAAATAACGAAATAACATACCGAAAACGAGGCTGAGGGCATATCCGAAAGGAGCCTGGCACCAAACGAGGCCCTTGGTGTAAATGGCCTCGGCGGTGCCGTTGATGTAACCACCTCCAACCCAGGTCGCGGTCATCGTAAATATACCGACGAACATTCCGATCGAACGACCCGCTAGCATGACTTCCTCCTCGGAGTCGTTGCCGGTCTCCTTCTTCCTGGCCGCCCATATTCCTACGGCCAATATCAGCACGTAGAACAAAGCGATAGAGACAAGACCGGCAAAGTTGATCATCTTCGGGGAGTACGGGTCCACCTGGGTGAACTCGAACTGACGTAGACGCAAGTCCGGGTGGTTCGCCGGTCGATCCGACTTTGGTAAATTCGGATTCCTGTGCACAAATATTAAAACCCTCATTTTAAAAACGATGGTATTTCCAAATCATTCTGCTAATCAATTTATATAAAAAATATTTGTAACGCAACATTTTTTGTCAAGTTTCAAGCTTCGAGCGCCATCTTGTGGAGCTCATGTGTCAAATTTTGTTAGAATTTCTGTGTTCAAAAATGCACCCTAATTTTGTCAGATCAAGACAGCCGAATATGCATATGTATAATTATTCGTTTGGTTCACTCTCGTTATATTGCCGAATCAGTGAATACATGATTTACCACACTGTTGTTTATGTGAACTAATAAAACTTTATTAATAGTACTATATATCGTTGATCTTATGTCTATGATTATCTGTTTGGTTCACTCTTGTTATATCGCCGAATCAGTGACTACGTGATTTACCACACTGATGTTTATGTGAACTAATAAAACTTTATTAATAGTACTATATATCGTTGATTTTATGTCTATGATCATCTGTTTGGTTCACTCTTGTTATATCGCCGAATCAGTGACTACGTGATTTACCACACTGATGTTTACGTGAACTAATAAAACTTTATTAATAGTACTATATATCGTTGATCTTATGTCTATGATTATCTGTTTGGTTCACTCTTGTTATATCGCCGAATCAGTGAGTACGTGATTTACCACACTGATGTTTACGTGAACCAATAAAACTTTATTAATAGCACAATATATTGTTGATTTAAAGAATTTTTTATTATTACAAGAGTGTTACTGCCACAGTGTCCGTGGCAATATAACGAGAGTTCTATCTGTTTCTATGTTTGGAACGTAATGCAAAGTGAACTCTTACTATTTGTCGATTTAATGGCAAAGCCTTGAAAGTTTCTGCTTTATTTACATACACGTCGAGAGTCCGTTTTTATGCGAGTAAGGTTACGCGTTTCTTGTGCAAGGGCTGGGACGGTGTACATATAGGGTGAAGCGGGACTAATGGGATTAGAGGGTGAACTCAGCTGGGCGATTTAAATGCCTTCTGGACAGGAACGTAGAATTTACAGTCAACTGCACGCGTTAGGCGCCGCATCGAACCAACGTGTTAATTGACTAAAAAAACGAGACGCTCTTTATGCGACATAATTGAATTTTGCATTTTCACTTTCTTTATTGCCGCTTCAAAACAACACCTTACAATGTCACTGTGGTTTTATTTGGACTGAGAAATATTTGTGACGGGCACCGAAGGTTTGTTGGAAAAGTTATTTTGTGGAAAGTGTGAAAAATGGAAAACTTGAAAATTGAGGTTATTTGGTATATTGCCAATTTTACATTTATTGCATTGGAAATTTTTGAAATATTATACTTTTTGAAATATTTGAACATTCTGGAATTTATGGATTTGCAAGTGAAGAAGTTGGGAAATTGGAAAAGTGGAAAAGTGGAAAATTGGAAAAATAGAAAACTTGAAAATTGGGACTATTTGGTATATTGCCAATTTCAAATTTATTGCATTAGAAATTTTTTAAATGTTACACTTTTGAAAATATTTGAACATTTTGGAATTTATGGATTTGCAAGTGAAGAAGTTGGGAAACTGGGAAAGTGGGAAAGTGGAAAATTAGAAAATTGGAAAATTAAAAAATTGAAAAATTGAAAAAATTGCTAAAGTAAAAAATTGGGAAATTGATTAAGTGAAAATTTAAGAAATTGAAAAATCAGAAAATTGAGAAAATGGAAAAGTGCAAAATTGAGAAGGTGGAAAGTTGGGAAAGTGTAAAATTGGAAAAGTGGGAAATTGGAAAATTGAGAAATTGGAAAAGTAGGAAATTGGACAATTGAGAAATTGGAAAATTGGGAAAGTAAGAAATTGAGAAGGTGGAAAATTGGAAAAGTGGGAAATTGAGGAGGTGGAAAATTGGAAAATTGGAAAATTGGAAAATTGGAAAATTGGAAAATTGGAAAAGTGGAAAATTTGAAAATAAGCATAACAGAAAATTTGAGAAATTAAGTATCAGGGAACTACCAAACGTCCAAACTCATCAAACACAAAACCCAAGAAAAATTCTCCAACTCAAAGAAGCAAAAGAATACTACACTAAATTCTGCCAGCACAGTACTTCAATTAAATCCATGGTACCCCATACTCGACCTCTTACTCTATCACATTGTGCACCGACAGAACATTGTGATAACTACAGTACCCTTTCGTGCGTACACCAAGGCAAACCATAGTCATAATGATAAAAATCTTCGAATTCGAGCGTCTACAAAAAAAATAACTGAAGAAAAGCATGTGCACAAACGGTGCCGGGAAGATTTATTTTTAACCTGCACGCGAAGCCGGTATAATCCCTTCCGTGATATAGCGAGATCGTAAATCAAGCCCTTATCAACCGTTACCCTTTATAATCGAATTCCCAAAGTCACAATGTTTCATAATTTTATTCTCTCTAGCTTTGCTTCAATCGATATTTCAGATTACATCTTCCCTACCCTATAATTTACTATACCACTGATTTAATAGTAGTACTGCTAGTAGTCATAATTACCGATAAGCAATTGCAAGTATGGTCAAAATTAACGGTGGATAAAATTAGCTATCTGAAGCATTGGTAATATTATCTATAGAAGTTATGTAAGATGATGTTTTTGGTGTAAGAGTTTTACGACCTCGCTATATCGGAGGAGACTATAAGAAGAAGATGCTGTACCTCTGAAGACCCCGCGGGGTACAGTCACGCAGTAGCGGGGGGCAGCCTCACACGGGTACCAACGGCATGTCCTGGCGATGGTCCTTCCAGACGGCCGACGACGACGGAGGGTTGGGATTTGGGGGGCAGCAATCGCCCCACCGGAGCGAGGTCTTCTGGGAGGGGCTATTCCTTGTTCTAAACGCGAGGCCGCCCATGGGCGCTGATGGCCATCGATTTTCACCCAACTCACCAAGCCTGCTACTTCCTCTGCTGCTACCTTTGCTTCCTCCTCGGTATCCTTCCTCGTCCGTGGTACCAGTACCGATCACCTGGATCAGTATGGTCTTCACCTGAAAGAACGACGTGTTCTCTCCAGCAGTGCAAGTATTTCATGGGGTCATTTCGCACATGTACGCTCGCGTGCTCAAATGTGAGAGTATACCTCATTTGTGGCTCTTCAAGGCCGTCACGCCTCGAGGGCCAATGGGCCTTCACCTTCTTGTACTCTTTAAGTGCACAGCTATATGACCAGTGAAAATTTTATAGGTCAATATCTACCACTGTAAACGATACCTTCAAAAAAAATTTTTTTTTAATTCTGTCGACGTAGGTCTGTAGTACATGTTATAACATTGAACTTTTCTTAGTAACATTTTTTTATAGACCTTATAACTTAGGAGTTATGCGCAAGAAAGTCGAAGGCCCATTTTCTCAAAATTTTTTTTTTTAATTTTTTTCAAAATTCTGTGTACGTAGGTCTGTAGTACATGTTATAACATTGAACTTTTCTTAGTAACATTTTTTTATAGACCTTATAACTTAGGAGTTATGCGCAAGAAAGTCGAAGGCCCATTTTCTCAAAATTTTTTTTTTTAATTTCTTTCAAAATTCTGTGTACGTAGGTCTGTAGTACATGTTATAACATTAAACTTTTCTTAGTAACATTTTTTTATAGACCTTATAACTTAGGAGTTATGCGCAAGAAAGTCGAAGGCCCATTTTCTCAAAATTTTTTTTTTTAATTTCTTTCAAAATTCTGTGTACGTAGGTCTGTAGTACATGTTATAACATTAAACTTTTCTTAGTAACATTTTTTTATAGACCTTATAACTTAGGAGTTATGCGCAAGAAAGTCGAAGGCCCATTTTCTCAAAATTTTTTTTTTTAATTTTTTTCAAAATTCTGTGTACGTAGGTCTGTAATACATGTTATAACATTGAACTTTTCTTAGTAACATTTTTTTATAGACCTTATAACTTAGGAGTTATGCGCAAGAAAGTCGAAGGCCCATTTTCTCAAAATTTTTTTTTTTAATTTCTTTCAAAATTCTGTGTACGTAGGTCTGTAGTACATGTTATAACATTGAACTTTTCTTAGTAACATTTTTTTATAGACCTTATAACTTAGGAGTTATTCGCAAGAAAGTCGAAGGCCCATGGTCCTCTCATGAATTACTCGGACTCTTATAGTTCTGAATCGATACGTTAGGTAAGAAAAGTGTTCCTCTTCGTAAGGGTACACGCGAGCGTACAAAACGGACAAATTCACGAGATTCTGAACACAAACCAACCTATCCTTCAAGGACAGCTGTGCGACAAACGTTACCAACTAGACAACAACAGCGGATGAAAAATAAAATTGTCGCGTACACGGGTGACTACCTACGAAAATGTCATTCCTCAAAAGCGATCTACTTGAGCTACGAATGTGATGAATTCTACTCACAGATTCACGGAACGTTCAGGTGGAATGTCGGAGGCACTGCACAATTCACTGAATCATTCGCGGACCGAACGACGGGAAAGAGGTGTTCGAGGTACCCGGTGTTGTCGCCGGAACGACGATGTTCCCGACGTCCTTAACAGTCGTGGAGGCCACCCCGTACTGAGCACAAGGTATCCTTCTCGGCGTCGAGGACTGGCGGCGGAGGAACGGTTCCGTGATATTGATTCGACCTCGTGACGTCATGGCGATTCACGGGGGTGCATCCTACCCTCTCGTCCTGCTTCTGTCTCGTTCTGGCCGTACGTTTCCCCGTGAACCTTTCCGTCGTTCGTCCACCTCCATTCTCCTCACCGGATCCTCCCTCCCCCGGCGTAGCCGCCG